ACATATTGCTCTGAGTTTTCTTGGTTTTTCTCATCTAACTATCTTTTCAACTCTTCTTTCTCTTGAATCTCAGACTTGAAAGGTGATACAACATTAGTATATAAGGCACCCAACTATCTTAATGCTGCATTTAGTATTTAGAAATAATAGTAGAACTTGAATGATTTAATCTGTATGTTTCTGAATACTACTGAGATATCCTTTCTAATACTTTTTTGCTTATTCAACACAAAAATCATTTGAGCGCCCTTGTTATGAGACATTGTGCATCTATCCAACAAAGTATTGGCAACACACAGCTCTCAGGTTACAAGGCAACAAATAGAGGGACAGTGACTTCCTAGGATGCAAACACAACATGAGAAGGCCTGCGGTACAAAACCTTGTCAGGGAAAATTGAAACAGAGCGTGATATATTTACCAACTGTAGGCACAGGAAAGGCAAGTCAGCTAACTGTGATGCTTCAAGAAAACAATTAACCTGAATGGACTCAGTGGGCACAGAGGAATACTTTTTTTTCCACTCGCAAGACAGGTTTGTTTTGAAAGTACTGTCTAGGAGCTGAATGATCATATGAGCACTACGGTACCACCTCTCACCAGTAATGGAGAAACAGATATACCACCAGAGAATGAAATTAAGGCCTCCTTTTCCTTTCATTGCTATTTTCAGAGGCAGCCCACAGGGGGAAGAACAAGAATGGAAGTGGGATATAGGCCTTTCAGAGGGGTCGGTATTTAAATGCAAACATGTTGGATGCATTGCGAGATATAACATTTAAACATTATGCACTTCAAGTATTTTATTTCTCAGCAAAGCTTGTTCAAATGTTTGAGCTTTATTTGTGCTGTTTTAAAATAAAATCAGAAAATGGTATTATGAGTGAATCATCTATAATGTTGGGAGCATTCTGGAATTTCTAGAACTGGCTGGGACCAGTTACCCTGATACTACTGCGATTGTCTCTGCGACCCTAGGGCAAAACAATCAAAAGAATTAAATACAATATGATGAATTCGAAATGACTTGATGAAATGCAAAAAAAAATCTATTTTTACTCTGTTAAAATCAAAAGAAGACGGCACGCATTGTTCACCATCAATAGGAAACCTTTCGTAATACTTGGTAATTACCATTCAAAGAGTTGGAGTTTAAACTGGTGTCTTTGTCTTTGCACACAGAAAACATCAACACATCAACTATCTGCTCTCTGTCCGGGGCTATTATTCACTACCCAGAGTCCATCCTTTCTGAGGACATTTGGCAATTGGGGGGGTCACATTTGTGCTTGTCATAGCACAATGGGCTCCTGTGCTGAACACAGTGGAAAAGACCAGTGAACATTGAACAGTCAGACGTGACCGTCGAGTAGAGGATGCACCGTTCCTCAGAAATGAGTGAGATACAGGCATGTAACGTCCGAATATAGAAGGGGCAAAGGGGCATCTTGAACATGCTACAAATGGTGCTTTGTCAGAAGATTGTTGACAAAATCAGCCATGTCCTTCTGGCCTGAAACCGGGAGTTACTGAAAAACAGATACAAAGCTGCACATGGACAACAGGGCAACCATTAGTCAAACAATAGCATAATCGTGTTTTTGTGGGTTGGGGTTGAAGAGAAGGACATCTTGCACGTTACATCTTGACAAAATCCTGTTGATCCACATTTTGATCCACACATTTTGAGCAGGCTACAAGTGGTGCTTTGTCAGAAGATTGTTGACAAAAACAGCCGTGTCCTTCTGGTCTGAAACTGGAAGTTCAGAGAATTTGGCATATTATACTGTGACTACACCCTGTTGATCCAGGCTTTGACTGCACTATCACTGTGGCAGCTTAACATTTTTCAAACAATCTCTGTTTAAAATGGTATATTTAGATCAGTATTGATGAATGACAAGTTCTTAAAACAAATTCGATTAATTCTGGGCCAATGGCAAGACACTGACAATACATTAAGCACAGTTCATTAATGTAAGTGAATCCTTGGTGATTTGGTCCCTGTTGTTCAAGTAGGTTTGAGTGTGAAAACAGTTGGGCGACACATTACTGAAACAAAGAGAATGAATGAGCCAAGATCAAGATTTGCATGTGGTACTTTCTCTACTGCAAGATCTATGTCAAGCAGGCATGGATCAATAAGGAAATCAGATGTCAATTGTATTGTATAACACTTCGTCAAAGGGAAACAAAAATGTCCATACTTCCTGTCAATGGGTTAACAGTTGTGTTACTGTCCGACAGTGCAGAATGAGCTCAAGCACCTGTAGGCTATACCATGTTTTAAGAGGTGTAGGAGACAAAGAAGACGGCTTTAAAAAAGACAAAAAGAGAAGATAGTCAATAGAATTTCAATCAATCGGAAGGCAGGGGCACTGGGGTATTGGATGGCTCAAATCTTCACAGGTAATCGAAGATGCTAAGACAAGAGTCCCCACCCCCATGCAACATCTTTTTTTTCTTTGGTGGTCACCTCCTCGCTATTTGTCTCAACACTTGTCTTTTCCCTCTCTACCATCCGTTTCCCCCAAATCCATATGTTTCTCAGGCTCTGCTTAAGTCCCTTTTCCCTCCATTTTTCTCCCCTTCTCCATTTCCCTCTCGATCTGGCCCCCCCTCTGCCAGTTTTCTCCTCCTCCAGCGCTCCCCCTCCTCTCTCCCGTGTCTACTGCAGCAGAAAAGCAAGCACAGACACCAGCATGTGTGTCTTTGTACATGTGTGTAATACTACGGTAAAATCCACCAGCAGGCTTCTCTCAATGGTAAGCAGTGAAGGTGAAATTGGGAGAAAAACGAGAGTCAAATGCTCTGATCAGATCATTGATTGCTGCTATGTTACATCACAGCCATGCAAACAAACCCCCTTTAAATCATTTGACTAATGTCTCTCCCCCATCTCCTTTTTCTTTCCTCTCATCTCCCGCTTCCCCTCTCTCATCTGCACCGATGTCTTTTGAGAACAGCGTATCCCTTGTTATATTTCCTAGTCTTTCTCAATTGGATAGATTTTTTCCTCTTCACATCTATATTGCGCTTCCAAGAACAAAAAAAAAAATTCTGCCTCATTGGGTGAGATACTTTTAGAGCAATGATGAAAATAGAAAAAAAAAAAAAAGTGATCTGGGTCACATCGCTGCTTGACGTATGACACTAGCATAGTAGTCCCACACAGAAAAATGGGGTTACGCTCACCCACAAATTGAGCTGGTACTGAGCAGCCTGTCAAAATTCTATCTACCAACTGCTCTGCACTCTCCATAACCCCAATGTGGTATCACAAACACCAGTTTTTTGCAGCAGGTACTCAGAATCGATGCTATTTTTTATCCATGATTCGTGGGTGCATGTGCTGTATTAACTGTACATTGCATAATGCGAAGCATTCCAGCAGCATGCAAATTTCATTCAAGGTACAGCAGCCACAAAAATGCTGTTAGAATATCAGGCTTTTCCATGTTGAAAATCAACGCAATTAGGATATCTCCATAAGACACATCTGTCAAAATGAAACTGTGGATTGTTTTGTGGAAGAAAGAACAATTAGAGATGGTTAGAGTTGTGAAAAATCCATACAACTTGGATTTGAGTGACAGTTAAAGAAGCACTTCCTTCCTGATCCCACGTCCACACAGGCGTATCAGGTTGCCTTACTCAGACTCTTTGTCTGTCACAGCACAACACTTTTCATCCATCTACAGAGGGAACTGAATCCAGGTAGGTCTTGATAAACCTGAGGATGTGTGAGTACATACGTGTATTTGATAAAAGAGAGTCCGAGCCTTTACATACAGTTATTCCTGTTGGCTTGTGGCTGTATACAAAATCCGTGCAGAGGTTTAGAACTTTTTAGTCCCCTCACATTCAACTATTTTTACTAAGACTGAGATTCAGTGGCTGGCCACTGCAGGTGTCTGTGGACTGTCTGGCACCGCATATGGAGCTGAAGCCTCAGCACCAGTAGCTCCTCGCACACCTCTGGGCAGTATGAGTGCTTCTCAAAGCAAAATCACAATGCAGGAGAGGGAAAGGCTGGCTCTACTCTGACAAAACAAAAAATATCAAAGCCGATATGATCAAGCAGCTGGATCCAACAAGCCCACCACAGATCAAAAACACAGTCAGGGGTACTTGTTACTCTAACACCTGTATGATCAAATGCCACTAAAAGGCAGATGTTATAGGGTAAATCATTAAGAACTCACATCCGATCAATAAAGGTTATTCTAACAGGAAAGCAAGTTGAGGCACAATAAGAGCTTGTGCCTCAAAGGCAGGAGGCATTCAATTTGGACAGAGGAGACCCATAAAAAAACAGAGTGTTCCATTACCAAGGGCAAATGCGAGAAAAGATGTGCACCTCAACAGAGCCTCAAAGCATCCTCTCCGATGCATTAAATAAATAGCTGCCACCACATATGGCTCACTGATGGGCATCGTATACCCACAAGTATCACCTAATGAGGGCGTTTGGATGCAGGAGGCACAGTGGATGCTGCGTTCCGGAGGAGGAATGACTTAAACCGGCTCAAGTAGCAGAATACGACGGTAGAAAAACTGTATTTCGCAAAAAAGAAAAAACCTATTGGTTGTGAACCTGGATCTCTATGATAATCTACATAATATGAGAGCACAGGGGTGGTCAATTAGTCTGCATTGATTCTACTTGTAGGGTAGTATACAGCTATATGGCTGACATACCTTTTCCATTTCTCTAGACCTATTTACATTAATTATTCAATATTAGTTAGTCGATACAAGCTACCACCATTTATTTCACGTGTTACTGTCGGATTACCAGCAGTTAGTGACCTGCACTTAACAAGGATTGTTCTCAATCAATTTGCTCTACTTTAGTGGTACATTTAAAAAATCAAAGTTTTGAAAACTCATCCTAACGCAAGCAGTGGTCTGAGGCACCACGAGACAGGATGTGCAACAGCAAATACACACACACACACAAGTTGGTCCCCATCACAGAGGAGACGTGAACAACTCACCCGGGCGTATTTGGAGGAGTACGGGTCTTCGAACAGAGCCCATATTCGGGGCTGCCAGATTTTCCAAAAGCCGGATCTCCTGGCGTCCTCCTGCATGCACAGCCTCTTCAGGTCCCCGTCCGCGCCCCCCAGCGCCGGGTCGTCGTCCGGCGCGTCCGGCTCCGGAGTCTCGAAGCTGTCCAGCGCCTCCTCCGCGTCCCGGTGCTGTCGGTAGTTCATCCAGCAGCACGCCTCCACGTCCGTCTCATCGATGCCCCAGAAGGCCAGCTCCTCCTCGAACAGGGGACCGCACACGTCGTTGGGACAGTGCAACTTCCCGGTGCGGTAGTAGTTGAGGATGAAGGAGAAGACGGACGGGTGGCGGTCGAAGAAGAACTCGTCCAATTTGGGGTCGTAGTCAAAGTTGCTGAACGCGTCCGGCTCGGTGAGCCACGACAGCCGGGTGCCGGGCAGCGTTTTTAGGGTGCTCCGGTAGGTCTCATGCCGCACCCCCCCGCAGTTTATCACGATTTTCTCGCTTTCCGACGGACAAGTCATGTCTGCGCTGTAACATGCTTTGTTGGACGACTTGTTCCCACCCTTGCGCCCTTTAAAAGAGGATACACACACCGAATTGAGCATAGAGGACCAGGGGGGGGAGGGAGAGGATGAGAGAAACCGAAGGGAGGAGGAGGGAGGAGTCTGAGGAGTCTGCGGGGAGAGAAAAAGGGCAGAAATTTAGAAGAAGGGAGAAATAGATGTGGATTACAAACATTCAGATACAGACGAACATTCTCAGGCCTTTATCAGCTGTGTGTGCAATTGTTCTGATGATAACAGGCTTCTGGAAGGGCACTAAACGACCTTGTGAAGGTGCAGAGATGTACAGGGGGGGCTCACAGCAGGGATGGAAATGATGGAGCAAATTAGTTTTAGACAGCATCCCAGAGAGCAAAAAAAAAAAAAAAAAAACGTGGAGAAACAGGTGGCTCTGAGCAAATTCGCGAGTCAGCATCATTCCGCACAGACTGATTGTTGACACCTCAGTCGAGAGAGGATTTGACATGATATGATTGGAGTCCCAGGGCTGCTAGCATC